GGCAACGCGCTGTAACCTCTCAAAACACCATGGCAACGCACTGTAACCTCTCAAAACACCATGGCAACGCACTGTAACCTCTCAAAACACCAAGGCAACGCGCTGTAACCTCTCAAAACACCATGGCAACGCACTGAATCCACTCAAAACACCATGGCAACGCGCTGTAACCTCTCAAAGCACCATGGCAACGTGCTGAATCCACTCAAAACACCATGGCAACGAGCTGTAACCTCAAAACACCACGGCAACGCACTGAATCCCCTCAAAACACCATGGCAACGCACTGAATCCACTCAAAACACCATGGCAACGTGCTGTAACCTCTCAAAACACCATGGTAACACACTGAATCCACTCAAAACACCATGGCAACGGTTTGGCAACAGGCTAAAAACACTCAGAACGCCATGGCAACTGCATAGCAATGCCCTGGCAACAACACCATGGCAACGCACTGAATCCACTCAAAACACCATGGCAACGTGCTGTAACCTCTCAAAACACCATGGTAACACACTGAATCCACTCAAAACACCATGGCAACGGTTTGGCAACAGGCTAAAAACACTCAGAACGCCATGGCAACTGCATAGCAATGCCCTGGCAACCACCCAAAACACAATATGCGCTGAAATCCACTCAGAACACCACTGCAAAGCTTTAGCAATGCGGTGAAACGATAGCAGAACACCTTGCAACACTTTTGCAACGTGTTGAAATTCGTTCAAAACACCACAGAAACCATTTGCTAAAACCACTTAGAACCTCATAACTATTTAGCAATGTGCTAAAATCATCAGCGGTGCATCCAAAATCGCGCACTGTATTAAGTAGGTACAACATTTGAATTTACTTCACGACCTTAAAAAAGTTCTGTATAGTATGAATATGGGTAGTTTGAATGAAATTCAGAAGTGCTACCACAGAGTATACATCCGCCATGTTGTTACTGTCACATGATCTACCTTCTCTGCATGCATGAATCCTCTCCCGTGGCCTCATGGGACAGTAAATAGTCTTCTTCTTCTGGAGTTTTATGGCGGTTGGCAAACAAACGATAGGTGCATTCCCGCCACCTACTGGAATTGATGGAATAGGAATTTACATTTAAAATGTAAACCCTTCTAAATCCTGTTAAACAGATCTACTTTTTTTTTATAGAATGTCATTAAAGCATTATATATTTTATAATGATTCAAGCCATTAGTCTTTTATACACCATATTAAAAAAACAATATAGAGAAACTGATAACGGTAGTCAGTAGAGAGAACGGTCAAATTTACCAATGCTGTATTAGAAACACCCATTTTTTATTTATTTGATGCAAAGGTAATGTAATACAAAGTAGGCTACAGTGTTATAAATATACATACATTTAAAAAAAAATGAAAATACAAAAAACTTTTGGAGGATTTACCATGCTGATGACCGTTGAAACGCTGAAGTTCAAACTGAAGTTCCCGCCTTTGCCAACCGACAAAGCTGATTGACGGTTTAAAAGCCGCGGGCTTCTATTTTGTTTAATACATTTCTAAAATTAAATGAGAATGCTAGATTTAAACTACACATTAACTTGTATACAAAGGCATAATTCGTTTTTTTTTTCTTCTGATGAACGTTAAATAAATAATGCACGCTGTTCAGTATCAATTAACAGTGTATTATTTTTATTAAAATTATGAAACGTGCCGTTTAAATAAATTTGCATAATGCTAAATTGTGTTTTAAAGCGTTAACAATCAAAAATTTATTTTTCGTGTCACTTACAAAAGAAAACAATCCCGTATCATATTCACAAATTAGCCCCAAAACGATACAGAATTAGAATTAAAAACGAATTACCTGTGCATAATTACTGCATCATTTAATAATAACCAAATGCAGATAAAATAAGTGTTCATGCGCGAGTTTTTCAATTATTCACCTCGAGAGACTAAATTTAACATGAATTCGAGATTGATTCGATTTTATTTCGTTATTATTAATATAATATGGTCTTTGTTAATAATTTAACAATAGTTACAAATAGAAAATAAATATATGCTAGTCGAATTCATTTTGATAGGCCTATTTATCTACCTAATAATCAATATTTCCTCGAACAAAATATTTAGGCTTTGTAGTTAAAAATAAATTTTATTTGAGCATCTATATTCTCAAATAATATAGTTTGTGTTTAAAAACGTAGTCTTTTTAAATGCAGTTATTTGCACCGCGTTATTCAAACGATTAAAAAAAATAATCATTTTAATTTTAACGATCGTAAATTGTCCCCGTTTCGCGTTTCTTTCAAATTATATGATTCAAAGAAATAAAAGATAACATTGCAAACACATGCGATGGCTTTTGAACGCATCTCTCTCCATACAGCCGTCAGAGTTGCGTTTCGCTGATTGCGTGGAGTCTGCTGCCACCCAGCGGCCGGAGCAGGAACAGCAGCATCTCGATTAAAAACATAAAACTCTGCATTCAGATGAGTTTTTTTTTAATCATAAAAAGGGTTCAGTTCCAGTGCTGATAAACAACAGTAGCCACGTGCCTTTGAAAAAGGATCGACTTTATTTACAGGGACATTTCAGATAAAAATGAGTGATCCAGGGCCTCATTGAGACAAAGCTGTGTCTTCTCTCGCTCTCTCTCTGGTCTGATGCGAGCTCAGGGACGGATCCGGCGCTCAGCAGTGTTTGTGGTGATATCTTCCAGTCATGTTGGCGGAGAGAGATTGCAGCAATATGTCGTGTCGTCTTTTCCTCTTCAGTGACTTTCTCCCTTCTTCGCTCTGCAATGATAACGTGATCGATGCCTATACATTCCACGCTGATATTTGTTCAGGGGACACACACACACACACACACACACAAACATACATACATACACACACACACAAACATACACACACGCATACATACATACGCATACATGCATACGCACGCATTTTTTTATTTCACTGATGTAATGCAGGAGTATTTTGAGATGCAGAAACGGGATGCATTGTATTTTCAGAGCCATTTTTATAGTATTTTATATTTTATTTTATGGTATTTATTATTATTTTTTTTTACTATTTATTTATTTTTCTCCCTGGAAATATTGTAATCCTGAATTAAATCAGATGAGCGTTTAAAGACAGACCTTTTTAAATTTAAATATGTATTTTTTTTTAGTCATTTATACATTTTCTTCCATCAAAATATTGTTTTACCTTTTTTTTTTGTTGTTGTTGCAAAAACTATTTTTATTTCACTGATGTAATGCAGGAGTATTTTGAGATGCAGAAATCGTTCTGAGCTGTATGCATGTATTTATTTATCATTTATATGTATATATTTTCTTCCATCAAAATGTTGTTTTTATTGCAAAAATTCTCTAGTCTGGATTTCTCTGATGTAATGCAGGAGTATTCTGAGATGCTCAAATGGGATATTGCATTGCATTTTCTAAGCTTTTTATGTGTTTATTTATGGTTAGTTAGTATTTATTTATTGAAATGTTATTCTGAATGAACGGAAAGTATTTAGTGTAAATGATCAGTACTGTGAGAAGCTGAAGTGTAATCTGATAATCGTACAGTCACACTGTTGACGTTCTGAAACTTGACGTATCGGAGCGGGACGAGGCCGTCGTCTTTGTAGTCTTCCTCCGACAGATCCAGCGCCTGCGTGGCTTCGCTCCTCTCCGCGTCATCGAAACCCATCGAACGAGGAAGATTAATGAAGATCTTCACACTCTTCGGGGCTTGAGCTGAGAACGGACATTATATCAGAGAACACTTCGACTCAACATCCGGGTGCACTTCTCGGTTTTGGTAACTTATGAATGTTTGTCTGAATGTAAACAGATGTGCATCAGAATATCGGATCATTCTGCTGTTGTTGTCCACGGTCTATACACACACACTGCTGGTCAAACGTTTGGGAGCAGAACGATTTTAATGTTTTTACAGGAGTGTCTTCTGCTCATCAAGGCTGCATTTATTTGATCAAAAATACAGGAAAAAATGTAATATTGTGAAATAGTATTATGATGCAAAATAACATTTTTCTATTTTAATGTACATTAAACTCTAATTTATTTCTGTGATGCAAAGCTGAATTTCCAGCATCTTCAGAAATCATAATAATATGCTGATTTATTATCAGTTGTGCTGCTTCATATTGTTTTTGGAAGCTGTGATACTTTTTTCAGGATTCTTTGACGATTAAAAAGTTAAAAAGAAGAGCATTTATTTAAAATGGAAATCTTTTCTAACAATATACACTAGTGGATAAAAGTTTGGGGTCAGTACATTTTTATTCTTTCTTTTTTTTCTGAAAGAAATTAAAACTTTTATTCAGCGAGGACGTGTTAAATTGATAAGAAGTGATAGCAAAGATTTATATTGTTAGAAATATTATTTTTTTTAAATAAATGCAGTTCTTTTAAACTTTTTATTCATCAAAGAATCCTGAAAAAAGTATCAGTTTCCAAAAATAATATTTGTCAGCACAACATTGATAATAATAATAATAATAAAGCAGCATATTAGAGTGATTTCTGAAGATCACGTGACGCTTTATACTGGAGTAATGATGATGGAAATTCAGCTGCGCATCACAGAAATAAATTATATTTTAAAGGATATTAAAATAGAAACCATTATTTGATATTGTAATAACATTTTGCAATTTTACAGTTTTTTTCTGTATTTTTGATCAAATAAATGCAGCTTTGATGAGCAGAAGACACTTCTTTAAAAACATTACAAGTCTCACTGATCCCAAGCTTCTGAGCGGTAGTGTGTACATATATATATATTATAAAAACTATATCTATTTCATATCTGTAAATATGAAATATTACCGAGTTCTGCAGCCAGCAGCTTCATGGAGAAGAGCTTGACGGGTTGATTGAAGGCGATTGTGATCAGAAGCTGCAAACAAACACATAACAGTGATCTGATCTTATGTAACATCACAGATTGACTTTCACTTCAGCGTACAGAAGATACAGCGCGCGCTGTGAAGCAAATACTGAGAACTCACGGCTAGTAACAGAACTTCAGGTGTAACTTCAAGTAAGTTACACCTAAATAGCAAGACAAAAGCACATACAACATTAATTACAATTAAAATAAAAACTATAGTAGCACATAAATAATATATATAAATAACACTACTCATAAACACTGGATGGAACAGTTATTAAATACATTTTCAATCTGACACAATTAGTAATAAATAATAATAATTAAATCAAACTAAAATTAAAATGAATCTGTGTGAAAAAAAAGTTATAAACTGACCTGAAAATTGGTAATTAATTAATAATAATAATAATAATTTAATGAATACTGAATTATTAAAACAATAATAGTATATAAATAATACTAAAATAACACCGCTACTAATATTAAAAATAGTTAAATAAACATTTGATCAAAAATTTGATTTCAAAAAAGTATTTTCACCTGTTCATCACAGTCTGACTCCAGATAGGACGAGTCCT